TGTTCGTGCTGTGGGATCGCCCTCACGGCAGAGCGCAGACCCCGGGCTGGCTGGAGTGTGGGAGACCCTTTGCAGGCCAGGTTTTAATTACGGCCGCAGGACTAGACGAAAAAAATGCTGACGACAGGAGCAGTCAGATGAGCTGTCGGAGCAATCTGGCATGGGCCACGCTGAGCCCGAGACTTCTCCGTCGGCTTGCAGAGGCTGCCCATCTGAACCGATTAAGAGACACCACATGAAATGTTGTTTTTATCCTCTTTGAACTGCACCATGTGTTTCCTGTGCTCTTGAGATGCAGAGGCTCAGCGGATCTCAGGCTCTGTAATCAGGCTTGTGCAACAGGAAGAGCACCATTCTGCTTCCTTGAGCTGCGCGGGCTGTATGGTGTGTGTGGTTCTCAGGACCACGGGACTGAGCAGAAACTGATCAAATTGGTGTTTAGGAGCCTCTTGGATTTTCGCCTTAGAGATCATGACTTCAGAGACAGAAAAGGCCTGATTTTGGTTCCAGTTAATGTGGTGAAGCTGTTATAAAAGGATACCAATCTCATCTCATCATGTCAAACTGACAATCACAAAACTTTATTGCAGGGCCTATCGCCTTCAGTGCTTAGCACTGAGTATGAAACAGGACTGTATACAGTATGAGCTAGGTCTTCAAATTAATCAGCATCTCGGATTACCCCTACAGCACAAAGAGTATAAAGAACTGCTTATGATACACTATTGAAGATTTCTTTTCAATCAAGGATAGCCGATGAAAAATAACTATATAAAATATTTTTTAAAACGACAAAAAAGTTTTAAAGGTCTAGAGGGAGTTTTGCGTATATTTTTACAATTACAACCCAATTGTACATGGCTTGGCTTTGTGGCTGCGATTGCTGTACCACCTTACCTACAGTAGGAGAGAATGGGACATGCAGACACCCTCTTCTGAGAAGCTCTACAACTTGTTACAAGTGGTGCTTCTCTCTGCAAGCCTGCAGGTGCCCAGCAGGTGTCGCTGTTTTTAGGGATGCTAGTACACCACTGGCAGACATTAACTTTGCTGTGTCGGTCAAGCTCCTGCAGGGGAGGGCACCCAGGTGACAGCTGGCCGATGACATGGTTGGTACAGCAATAGCAAAGGTGCTGCATTTTTACTGTAGTACATAGTGTCTGCTACTACAATCAATACGTTATTTTTAGATTCTAAATAAGGCAGATGACTAATACACATTTCAAATATTTTCAATCAAACAAGTAATACAAGCTGTAAGGGGGAGGAGAGGGCAGCCACATTTCTCCAGAAAAGAGAAATGGCACATGCTTAAAAGTCAGACCTGCCAGAGAATGCTGCTGCCAGACAACCCTAAGACACCCCCACGTGGTAATTCTACCAAAACCCTGCTCCTTCACTTTGATTCTTCCTTCTCCTGCACACACAACAGAAAGTGAGCACAAGCATGCAAGCTTACATGTGAGATTGCCACTGACCTATTGAAGAGATTCACCGGCCAATTAAAGTTAAGACCGATCCACTTACATCAACCCGGTGACGTTCATAAGAAAAGGCTTAGTGTTTTTCGTTTTCTAGGGAGCCACTTGGTAAGAGGGAGGAGAAGACAGAGCCACCATCTTTGCATTAAGACTACATTCTAATGACCAAGGCAAAAGGAAAATGAAAAAATGGTATTGTATCCCAAGAACAGTATAGAACTGCAGTGTCTGGAATCTTCACCCTGCAATGCTGAGTGCCAGCTCCCACTTTTCCCAAATAATGCCCATGCAAGTGCTCACTCAGTTAAGAGCTCTTTTCACCACGCCAAAGTGGTCCTGAGAGGAGGGCTCTCCAGTCCCTCCTGGCTCTGTCTCTATAATGTGTCAAGGGTTTTCATGCCCACCAGTCATCTGTGAAAAACAAGAATATTTTTCTAGGCAACAAATGAGCATAGGATTCCCCCCCCCGTTTTCTGATCAGTTCTGAGGTTAAATAAATAGGATGAAGCAGTGAAAACGTCTCCAGTTTCTGTCACGCTGAGCTGCTTTAAAACACATTTCAAATGCCAATTGAGCCTCATGTGTTAAGAAAGACGTGAAGGGAATTTTAATGTCATGTTAGCGGCCTGCAACAAATTCCTGTTGCCAAAGGGAAAAGAACGGGGTATCAAGCATGGCACAAAGAGGTACATAACAGGCTTCGTGCTGCTACAAGAGAGCTTCTGTAGGAGCAGAAAATGTACAGAGAGGCAGCTGAAGATCAGTGGACACAATACAGGTCAATAACTTTAAAATTAGCACTTTAAAAACAGCCCAATCAGGGTAAAATATTAGGTATTAGATATACCTTTGCAGAGTTGTCTATTTCAATAATACCAGCCAGACTGATAGCAGGCAGCTAAAAAAACACTAATAACAAAATAATAATAAACAGCCTTCCAAAATGCATTGAAAAACTTTGTGATTTCTTTATGGTAGTTTCCTGGTGCATATACAAGACAACACAGTTCCACGGGAAATTATAGAGGAAATGTATGAAATTGCCGAACTACACACAAATTTTAAAAAGTACGATCTAAAAACGCTGAAAGGCCTTTGAAGTAAGTCTTACATTAAAGAAATGCCAGTCTCTTGCAAGGATCTGCTAGTTTTTGGAAACAAATACTAATACAACTATTAGGTTCAAGTTAAAGCAGCTAATTATATAAGAAAAAGCATTAACTTCTGAATAGGTTACACATTTCAGATCTCTCACACTGAGTGCCACAGACAGGCATGTTGTGTTAAAAGCTATTAGGCAGCTCCTGACCAAGTAAGCCGGTACATCAGAATAAAGACAAAAGGAACTTCAGCTATGTACCAGTGATCCTGCCAAAAACAACAGGCACTAACGGCTGCTGTTGAAAGAGCGAAATACCAGAGCTCTATATTTAACCAAAGAGTTATTAGTCTAATCCCAAAGGGGTTTAAAGTAAGTCTGCAACGATGCTGACCTAAAATGTATAAAACAGGGAGATACAAATTTGTGAACTGGTTTGTCGCATGTTGAGTTGCTGAGGGCTGCAAGTCAAAAGAGCCTCTCTTTCCTTCGTCTAACTCACTGTGCGTCATTACCCTCAGCTTTCCTTTCACAGAGTGCAAAACAAAAGTAATTAAAAAATTCTGTCCAAATGAACTGTACTGCCTACAAACTAGACAACTCTTAATAAGAAATGAGTGTGTTTGCATTTCATTGTACTTGTGGCCCAAGTAATTTTATTTTTTTCTATAAAATAATTGTAAAACTCTGTACACGGGAAAAAGTATTTAGGCCTAATTTACATAAGACTTTCATGTTATCGAGGGATGAGGCATGCATGATTAAGGACCACATTCATCAACCACAATAAGTTTTGTCTTAAAGTATGAGATGTGTGCTAACACACATGCCTTAAAATAAGATGGCATTTCATTAGCATCCAACAAATATGCAGAATGCATCATAATGTATGCGAACTTTGAGGTAAGATAGCACTTATGCTGGAGCTTATATGTTTATGGATCATATATACCATTTAAAGGGGATCTGCAACATTATTTTTATATTTTGGGGTTAGAAAAAATCGGCATTGATGAGTGCATTTCAAACCACACTAAAAGCAAAATATACGCATTAACTTGGAAAACCTCCGATTTACATCACAAAATAGAAGACATTTACTGCTATGACAGCACCATATTTTGCGATTCAGAATGAGGAAACAGAACTTCTGGTTAGGTGAAGCAGCCCTATTACTGTGCATTGTAAACATGCTGGTTTGTGCATACATCTCTATTAGTCTAATAAAAATATTGTTCTTGACTCCCAGATAATTTTGTACTTTTATCTTTAACTGCAAGCAGATCATGTTGGAACATTTCTTAGGTGAATTGTCCGCTGCACAACTGTACTTGTTCTCTCATACATTGCGTGACGTTAATCTTTACAGCACAAAGGGCCACTTACATCGCCATTCATGCAAACTCTCGCTTTTGCCCGAGGTGAGACCAGGGGCTTGGGATAACATGGTGAATCACAGTACTTTCACAAAATGGATGATATTGTGCTTAATTTGAGATTTGTCATTTTTTTTCCACACTGCCAATGAATTTATTTTGTTATTGAGATTTAATAACTGGTCTGAGAAATTGGGACTGCAGTTCCCCTTTCATCTACTTATGTATCAGGATCCCAAAATGTTTGAATACGATATGTTTGAAGGTAGATGTGTGTGTCAGTTCGCTCATCCTCAAGGACTATATGAGCCATAGAGCGTGACCTTGTGACCTCAAGTTCCAACACAGCCACCCTTCTTGCACAGGTGTTGAGAATAAAATCAAACAAACAACAACTAACCTGTCACACCAGTAGATGGATTGCAAAAGCTTGTGTATGCTCAGCTACTGAATGGACAGTCATGTGAAGGCTGTGTCCTGTGATGCATTTGGCTTTTTGCAGGAACAGAAAAGCTTGCTTAAGCAGTCTGTAGAGCCTCCTGGAGCTCATGCCCACTACCTGCGGACTTGCAACGCTGGTAGTAAGAACCACAGCACTGGCCTCATCAATGCCAGCGTGGAGTGCAGTTTGCTCCCAGATGGAATTCGATCCTGTGCCTGAGCTGCACAGCAGACTCACACAGCACCTACGCTAAAAAGTCACCATTCTTCCCATTGCGGTGATGTCACTGTATCAGTCTCACCTTACAATATAGGTTCCATGACGTAACAAATTGCAAAACAGAGACTTGTGTTGCTGAGCCATTCACAGCAGTGATGTTGGAGGAGAAGTCTTCCCCAGACGAGAACCAGGTGTTTTGGGGTGCTGGGGATATCTCCTGTCCAAGGAGCAGAGCCATGTGTGCCCAGAGCCCGCTAGTAAAGGGATTGAAGCCTGACAGGGGTAGAGGAGCTGACGCAGTCTGCAATGTCTCATGGCTCCGTAGTGCTCTATAGAAAAGCATTTCCCCCAACAGAAACTGTGCAAGGGATACGACAGCAAGCTAAGATGATTAACAGTGGGTGACTGTGGTTTGGAGAGCTAGGAAAAATAATTGTCAGTTCCCAAAACTATTATTTATATCAGGGGACATTAAATACATTCAGCTTGACTGAATTGCTGGCTTGCGTTTTGGGCCCAATCATGTCTCTCACAGGTCATGAGTTGACTGTATTGTTCGACCAAGCACTCCATAGTCCTGTCAGAGATCCTTCAGAGAAGTCTGGCATCCCCACGCCCAAACAAAAATTATGGCTGACATATCCTCTCACTTCACGAGTTGCTCATCCCTCAGAGCATAGCCAGAATGTCCTGAAATGTGGTGTTGTACCTCTGTGTGCTTCTGACACATAAACAAGTCAGCAGCAGTGTAAAACACGAAATGAAGTAATTATTTGTCACTCTAGAAAGACACTGGACACTCAGTATTGGCATTCTGGACATTATTTATGTGAAAAGAACATTCTGAACAAATACTCTGAACAAAGAAAGGAAACTTTTAATAATTGTGAAAAAAACTTTATGAAGATAAATAATATATAACAGATTTATTGCTCATTACTCCCGTAATACACTTCCCGTTCTATCTCTATCTCATTAAGCTTTGGATTTTGTATTTAATGTCTAAAACTGAAATATGTTCCATGCTGCTGTTTCCAAAATACTGACGGTCCCTACAGTAGAATGAGCGTATTGAATAGTAAATGAGCACGATGGGACTATGAACAAGAGCTGTGGTAGATTTTATAGGCATCAGAAGGGAGCAGAGAGGTGAAGGAATTTCAACACTGCTATACATTTTGTACTGTAAGATGAAATATAGATGGAGAAATCACACACAAGTGGAACTGTAACCACAAAAATGCTATATATAAGTACATTTACTGGAATTTCTTGGTACTGTGGATGGAAAATTGCCATAAAAAGGTTTTGCATCATAAAATGTACTGACAACTGAGCAACTCAATGGATCAGATTCTTTTCTGATGAGCATCATCGACTGCACAGCTCATTAGAAAGTCTGTGAGAAAGTGCTTTTGGTGACTGAGAAGAATGCAGGGTCGTGTCTCCTGTTTAATCATATAGAAAAATACTGCAACCCTTGAGAAAAAGAAAACATTGTGCAGAAAACATTTCTGTGGCTGTGAGGAAAGAGGCGGTTTTGTAAAGAAAGAAACCAGGAAGAAACTGTCTGAAGTCTTGTCGTCCTTCATACTTCCTCCCAAACCCAGGTGTGAGACTGGCACACTGAAATGGCAGAACCTGAGATTACAACGTCGAACAGGAGAATTTGCACTTGACTGCACTTGATTTAGCCCTGTGACTTTTAACTGCTTTCACAACGTGTTACAATATATAAAGGAACATTGAAAAGTAAATTAGCACATGATGTGATCTGCTGAATGGCCAGTGGCTGTGATCTTATGTGTAGCAGAATTCTGGACTGTAAGCCCCGATCAGTGTGTAACTAGTATCCATATCAATCTCCATCTCCTCTTTTTCGCTGACCATCTTTAAAAACACACCATAAAATAATTTGAAATAAAAAAAAAACATTTCTGGAGTTCCTTGTGCTGAAAATAAAGCTGTGTTTTTCTTCATATGGTAGGCTGTCTAGTTCTGCCAGCCTGCTGCAAGACTTGTTCCTTCATTCTGTTAGACCTCTGAACCTGCGCTCCGTCAATGCTCGACCCCAGAGCCTTGCTTCTGGCCTCCTTGGCTGTGGAACATGGAAGCTAAGCTGAGAGAGGAACAGGAGGACAGCACACCACAGCTCTGGGTGTGCTCCAGACAGCAGTTTACTTCCTTCCCAGACTTGAATGAAGGATTCCCTCACCTACTACAGCAAACGCAAGAACACCGTCTACCGAGCTGGAAATTCAGGCCGAGGCGGGAAGACGTTTTCCAGTAAACGGAGACACAGATTACAGCCTAGAAATCGTGGTGAACCTAAGTAAAGCCCATCTCACCAAGGAAACTGAGCAGCTTTAAAGGGGAATTGCAGTCCCAATTTCTCAGACCATTCATTAAACCTCACCTACAAAATGAATTAGATGACCGTATCTCAGAATTTGTCAAATTAAGCACAAAGAACTTTGTGAAAGAGCTGTATGATCAACATGTTCTTAAGGATGAGAATGAGAGTTTTCGCGAATTGTGATGTGAAGCAGCCCGTACTGCTAATTAGTTTCCATAAAAATAATAATAAAATAATAATTGCTTATACTTATATAGCGCTTTTCTGGACACTCCACTCATTTACAGGTAATGGGGATCCCCTCCACCACCACCAATGTGCAGCCCCACCTGGATGATGCGACAGCAGCCATAGTGCGCCAGAATGCTCACCACACATCAGCTATCAGTGGGGAGGAGAGAAGAGTAATGTAGCCAATTCATAGAGGGGGATTATTAGGAGGCTATGATTGGGAAGGGCCATTGGGAAATTTGGCCAGGACACCGGGGTTACACCCCTACTCTTTTAGAGAAATGCCCTGGGATTTTTAATGACCACAGAGAGTCAGGACCTCAGTTTTACATCTCATCTGAAGGACGGCGCCTGTTTACAGTATAGTGTCCCCATCACTATAATGGCTAATGTACTGTGATGTACGAGCGAATAAGTACAGGTTGTGCAGCAGACATTTCGCCCCAGAAAAGAGTTATTTGTTGGCAAAACCGTCCCGAAGTCGAGAGCAGTATTTCTATTGGAGTAAAAGAGATTGATTCACAAGCCTGCTTGTTTGCAATGTAATAGAGCCGCTTCACCTCACCAAGTGTTGTTGCCTCGTTCTGAATCACAATGACGGCAGTATGGCACCGCGCAGACCTGGAAATTTCACCTATTTTGCGATGTCCATTGGAGCTTTTCCACATCAATGTGTACAGTTTACTTTCGTTGTGGTCAGTGCTGATTCTTTCTAGATTTGAATTATAAAAGTAGCTTTGCAGTTCCCCTTTAAGGTGCAATACAATACACAATACTCTAACACAATTTAAACCTAACCATGGGCCTAACCCATACTTCACTTATTTTATCTCTAATACTGTATAGTTACTGATTTATTTGCATTTGGGAAAGAACTGTTAATAAATTAAGTATCAGTGAGGAAAGAACACTAAAGACTTCACCTTGTTCTGTTTAGTTAGGGTTACATTCTGTTCTGTTACATAGAGAATTCACTGGGGCATACTCCTACAAGATGTGTTATGTGGTATTAATTTGAATCTATAGATTTAATTATTTAGATTAAATTTAAAGAGAAAAACAATACAAATGAGGCTGTAATTACAGGGAATAGTGCCTTTTGTCCTTAACATTGAAAAAAGACAGCTAAATGTGCTGCAAAATATTATCTAAAAGACCATTAAGTGTTATTTTGAGGAAGTATTACCTTACTGAATTTGTCAAACTACTAACATGCAGCCCTAACGTTTGAGTCTAACTTTGAAATAATTCACGTGAATTATTCATCATGTGTGATGGGAAAGGTAGCTATGATTATTTATTATGATTATATTCTTCCTACTTATCATATGTATTATATTTATATGTGCCTAAGGGTTTTACAGACAATTAGTTCTGCATCTAGTGTTATTTAGGAAACAGGTTATTCAACAAGAATTGGCAGTAGACATTGTAATTTATAGTATCAAATATATTCCTAATGGTAAATTTGTGCGTATACAGGTGCATATATATTTAATGTGTATCGGTACTAGGCTTTATGGTCAAACACATACTGCTATTGAAACTCAAAAGTTGGTTTCCTGATGATCTGAAAGGGTCTGGGTCATTTTCGAAGTAAAGCAGTGCTGTATTAACATGAGACAGTAGATGGCAGTGTCTCTATTCTCTTGAGTATGACCCTGCACAGTGCTTAGAAACTGCTGAAGACTCACAACCAAACCATAACGTCATACTCCCAAAGGCTGTAAACTGACACAGGTATCGATTGAAATACCTCTCATGAGTACTAAGATCATTTGTTGATCTGTTGCCTCCTGCTCTGTAATCAGTTCTAGTTGATCTGGGACACGGTGAAAGGGAGTCATTCAGGGCGCATGGCACTGCGCCTGCTGCTGTTATCGGCATGTGAATGGCTAGCTGTCACCACCAACAGGATTGCTATAGACCGGAGAGTTGGATGACAGAGGCTCAGCTTCCACATCTGTCTTTCAACTACGATGATCAGTTATGACTTTGAAACACATTCGATGGAAAAAGGTGGCCGTGCAGTTTTACAGCAGCTGGCACAGTATATGTTCAATCAGGACACTGCACAGAGGAGGGGTGAGGCCTCCTGATGGCCCAGATGGTGGGTTCAAACCCTGGGAGGTTTTCTGTTGTTGTGTTCTTGAACAACATGCTGCAGTCAGAATACTGCAGTACAATCCCAGGCCCCGTGCAGAAGTACAGAAGTATCAGTATTAACTGATTAATCAATCTATCTCTCCAGGAGCAGGAAGAAGTTAATTTTGTGCTGCAAATTAACTCTGTTTTGTTCCTTTCCAGCTCTAAAGCCGTCGCAGCTTTCTGCTCTTACCTAATCGTGTCCAACTGACATCTCATTTGTCTCTCAGTCTGAGGCTGGAGATCTGCATGCCTGGCTCTGGCAGGCGTCAGGAAGTGTCCCAGCTGCAGTGTGGTGCGAGCCGTGCAGAGAGCTCCGGAAAGCGCCGTCTCCAGCGCTGGGAGTCAATAACACGGCACAGAGCCTGTCGATTGTGCTGAGTCTGCTGGTTTCGGCTTGTACGTGGGCAGAGCGCGGCTGACAAGACATATGCACGGAATCAGCGCTCCTTGGTATTTGAGGAAGCCCTACGCCACCTCGTTATCATTCAGTCCCTGCCTTGACTGCATCAAGAAACTCCAGCTCCCTCTTCTCCCTACATCACGCAGACCTTCAACACCAAAGGAGATACACTAGTGGGGAATATATCCTATATGATGATAACGAAGGTAAAGCAGATTCTGTATTCATTGTTAAACATTTTCAAAAAAGCTTTGGAGTTCTGATGACTGTGTGCTTAAATGATAGTTTTGTTTTTTCAGAAAAACTGTTCTCACTGGATTGCAGGCTGATGCCTTGAAACACCAAGGCACAAACTTTCCTTAAGAGCTCTGTGTATGAACCACATGTTCTCATAATCTGCAAAACAAACTATGGAATACAATTTTAATTCAATTGGCAGAGATCTGTCTTGCAACTCAAATCCTTTTGTTTCAAACTATAGAAAAAACATACTTCATGTACAACTCGGAGAGTCCTAATCTACAGAGCATCCCCACACGTCCCCCCTTTCTTCAACCACGCTTCGACAGACCGCATTGGTGACTCCAAAGCTTGGTGAAAGTTTTTGTTTCTGAATTCTGTCTTGAGTGGCATTGCTGTGGGATTGACCTGTGACATTTCCAGAGCCAGTACCAGAAATATATCCCTCTAGGTGAGCATCAGGCATGGGGAATAACACTAAAATATGAATGATATTAGCAAAGCTAAGCAAGACAGCTCTGTCTTTTCACTGAGCTCTTTTGCATACAAACAGGTCCCCAGACATCTTAATAGGAGGTTTCATTGTATTATCAGTTGTTTGTTAAATTAATTCAACTTCAATAAATGATCATGAGTCAAATTAATGGTACAAATTGAAGTGCTAAGACTTTATGCTGTTGTTCGCTATCATTTGTGCAGAAGAAGATAATCCCTTTAACTGGGTTTTAAACAAAAGTGTCTGTCAGAATAAGCCATTCCTTCCCATTACAGTGTTAAAGATCGCCAAAAAACCATGAAGCACTGTATCAGGAGCCTACAAGCTCAGAATTGATTTGACATGGATTCCTTCAATGCATGTAAACTCAGCATTGATGCAGAAGCTCAAATATATACAAACATAAATCCCCTGTGCTTGTGTTTTAATAAGCAGTACAGTATGTTAAATGATGAAATCCATGCATAGAGTCCACTAGGATTTGTCCCGTCTTTTCCTAATGTCCTTTTAAAACAGTCCCCTTCTAGTACAGTTTTGGTGCAGCCATAATTAAAGGTTAATGGATGTATGCAATAATTTATAGCTCACAGCCTGTAGTACTTGCAGCACCTGCTTGTTACACATCACTTGCTGAATCCTTAATAGCTGCTGAAGAACTACCTACTGTAGCAAATTAAAGTGAGCCCCTTCCCACGCTGCAGAGGAATGGGTAACGTGTGCGGAGAATCATATGGCCAAAGGCAATTTCTTGCTTTTGTTTATAACTAGGAAAAAAGCAGCGATAAGAGTTATAAATGAAGGACATGTTACGGAGCGTCCTTCAGGACCCTGTGCAGAGGACAGAATCCGGAAGGGAGTGAACACTCACAGGGGGGAGACGAGGAACCGGGGGGGCGTGACGAAAGCGCTCCGGGGGGCGTGGTTCAGGCGAACAGTCCAAAAGGAAGTCCAGTCAAGCGAAGGTCCAGAGCCGGGTGATAAATCCAAGACGAAGAAAAAGTTAAAAGCCGGACCGGGGGGGTGGAGAAAGGAGGAACGGAACCAGACGCTCCAAGTCCCGGGCTCGGGCTCGGGCTCGGGCTCGGGCTCGGGCTCGGGCTCGGGCTCGGGCTAATTCAGGACACCTAGGAGGCGAATACCACCCGAGCCGCGGAAGTAGGGCGACTCCGTTTTAGGGAAGCCTCCGGGCGTCCGTGTTCCAATACAGAGCCCGGAACAGCGTGAGCGTCTGGCTTTTAAAGGTGGGCTGGAACAGGGAGCAGGTGCACAAAATCAACTAAAAAGTGAACGAGCCGGAGCGCCCTTAAGGGGGACGGACTACAATCGTGACAGGGCAGTGGGGAGCAGGAAGTCCACAGGGTTGTTTTCAAAGTATCTGACCGTGAGTGAGCCTGGAAGACTGGAATTTTGAAAATAATTTCTAGGGACAGTTATACAACCCCCCCGTGTCTCAGCTGCAAGTCTAAATTATAATTATTTAATTGTGCAAATGTATATGTTCATTGCTGTTAACGAAAAGTACAATTATTTTAACAATAGTATACAAAGCTAAAACATAATTAATTCCATAATTATTGGATCCTAAATAGTTAGGAAATATTTTATACATAAATAAGGCCTACTTCAACTGCAAATGCAACAGTAACAACAACAATAAGATTATGATGATGATGATGATTATTATTAATAGTAACTGCAGAATACACGGTCCCTGAGAGATCGCTGTTCTCAAAGAGAGAGATGGGATTGTAAAGTAGTTTATTTTGACTCTTCACCCATCCAGCACATTGCGGAACCTGTGTCTTCCAGGCACTTGGAGTGATGTCAGCTGGAAATGCCGGCACCCTCAATAGGCGCTAACGTCCTGGCACATGGCTCTACAGGTAGGATTGCCAGGGGAGTGTGTCTCGGCACTGAAAATGTCAATGAAATTATCTTGAAATAGTTGTTCATTCCAGACGTTTTGAGTACACAGTAATAAAAAAAAATGGATCAGCAATTGCCACATTATAAAATGGAAATACAATAGTTGATTTACCTCTAAACCATGAACACTCAAGCGAGCAGCCTGGTGTAAATGTTTACTAAAAGGGAGCTTGATCAGCCTGCAAAGAAGAGTCAAAATAAACTACTTTACAATCCCATCTCTCTCTTTGAAGAAGCACTTAAAATGCCATCCATTTTCCCTGGATAGACTTTATGACTGCTGCTCTGCACTAACGGGTATTAACCCCCCCTAACCCAGAAAGGGAATGAGGCTGGGGCCGTGTGCCCAGATGCAGGAGGCCTGGCGCGTCAGCGTCTGCACTGGGCCGGCAGGTGCTGTGTGCAGTCTGTTAGTCATCACAGTTCCACCCCCGCAGCTGTGTAAAGGACAGGACAATGGGCCACCCCTCCACACTCTGCACCTGGCCACTTCCCTAGTTGCTAGGTTGTTCCATAAGGACTGTGTCATTTCTCCCACGCACAGCGATTGTCTTTCAGCATGCCTGACGTATTTCTAGGGCAATAACTGCCTGATAGCACCAGGTCATAACAATTAGTAGCAGCACAGCGCTCATATTGAAATGAGCAGCTCGGACACAGGTAGTTTAATTGTCACAAAAAAGAGCAGGCAAATGAGGTACTGTGGGAAACCTGTGTAATTCCACTGGGTTTTTTTGGGTGGTGTGAGGATGGAGTGGACTACAGTGTAGTACAGCCAGTCACAATTGACAAGATGGGAGCCATTGTGGCTCCTTATAACTATCATAGAAGAACTGATAGTCTTAAGTTACTGTCAAACGTTTATTATATCTTGACAAAGAAGAGATTAAAAGGCACGTCTATGAAATAATACCTGCACAATGAAATTTCTCACTGTTCAGTGCAGGGAGACTAGAAAGCAAAATATCCAAATATGTATTTCAAATTTAAATATAAAAGGAAGTATATCTGTAGTCCAACTCTGTCCTGTGTGAAGAGGTATACAATTGACCATTTTGCATGATTTTAAACATATATGTAATAGTTTATGGGGCATCAACAGATATCTCCTGCATTTATTTTTTGTTATTTTAATGCTCAATATATAAGCAATAGAATTAGATTAATGATGTTCAGATATATCAGTGCATTTATGTAGAAGGTGCCTTTATCTGACAGGCAGGTATTTATTTATTTTTTCTCCTTATTAAATCTTCAAGAATAACATAAAAGAAAATGTGTTTGTATGGGATTTAACTTTCCATTTGGTCAGTTAATGGATCACCTCATTATTATATTTAGTTTTCAGTGCAACAGAAGAAACAAGTTAAAGAAACAGACTTTTTCTACATTTCATTCATATTTTAAGAATTGATTGAATTAAAAGAGCATCCCAGCCTTGGACAGGTTTTCAAACTAGACGCCTGCTGGAATAGAATTTCGGGAAACAATCAGGGAAATGTTAAAAGGACCATTTCAAGAATAGCTTTAATCCCCGAAGACGTGCAACACTGGAGTCACTCTGAGCACGAGGGCCCTGGTGAGTGGTGTCCGGCTCCTCTGTGACATGCAGAGGTGACTAGAACTTGCTGGGCAAGCCGATGGACGAGGCAGTTAATAGAAAGAAAGGCCTGTCCGCCCCTCCCCCAGCTCCCCAGTTGGAGTGATCATTTCTGCCAGAGCGGATGAGTGGTGTGCAAGGAGACCAGCGGAGATTAATGGGAGAGGCTGCTTGTCCAATCTGCCAGGGGGGATTTGCTGAGGTCACAGCACTGCTGCCCCCTCCCTCCGTTCACCAGATCACCACACGGCACGCCTGGGAGGATTAGAGCCAGGCCTGTCCTTTCAACTGGAACTCACACAAGCAAGTCCTCATGCACCAGGTTACCGTACAGCACCAGAGTCAAGGAAAGAGAAAGAGACATAAATACATCATCAGCTATACATGCACACATTGAACTGTTCTGAATTTGGGGCTACAGGTAAATACCTGCTGTAATTTGTTACAACATGTATGAATTGCTTAAATTGTACGAAAATACAGAACAGCACATGGAAATTATGCATGCACTATACCTAATTTCAAGGATGATCACTGCTTCAGTATTTTTCCAGACACAGTAAATTATGAGATATTATGATTCATGTCCCTACTAAGCAGAGCTTTCCTGCAATTACACATCAGAAATTGGGTGTGAACAGGGCAGAAAATACTTCATGAAAGGGTCGCTCACCATTTTGTACAACAGATGGATTAATCATTTTACAAGCAGTGTGTTTAACAATGAAAAAGTGGACCTGTATACAGGAGAAGTTGATCTGGCAGAGATCAATCAAAAAAATTCAGAACTACTAAAATTGAAATGTAAAATAATGTCTGTTAAGCAACCTGACCTTGGAAACAAAATGTACTCAGGTATATTATGACTTGTTTACAACTTTTGTGGCATTTTTCCTGACCAGCTCCAGTAGAAGCACAGCAGCATCAGTACTGTAAGGTGCCCTAGAGGGCAGGCTAGCCCACCGCATGACACAACACGCCTGGACTCTGGTCAGCTGCCACCCTGCTGGGTGGTTTCAAGGGATCTGTGATAATCCCTACATTCTCGTGCCTTCCTGCCCCATGCTTCTGGCTCCTGGGCTCCACCTCTCTGAGCAGCCTCTGAGTAGACCATGAGTTTCAGGTCACGCTGAGCCTTCTGTCTGTGCTTGGGTACTCCACATATTGAGAGAGAGACATCCAACTTCTTCAAAAACCATCCAACCTTTCTGAAGGCCTTAGACTAGGTATAGCCTCAGAGCTGTGTTGCACCGTATGAACGCAGTGAACACAGTGAACATTGCTGTGCCATTTCCGGGAGGGAAGCAGAGCAGCAGAGGAGGAACCTCACAAGCCTTGGCCCCTGGTTTGGACGAACGAGCTATTAAGAGACATTTAAACCTATTTAACAAGCCACCCAGGCGAAACCTGGTGTGTCAATTAGCTTTGTTTATTTCCCTCCAGTCCTGCTTGGCAAGGCCTGTGTTCATAAAATATTTATTGCGGACATTAAAGTGTGTGAATGGGAGACTTGGCTTGGTGGACGGGGGGGCAGAGCTGGAGTGTAGAGAAAAGTGTTTGATCTATATTTAGGCGATGGCTCTGCTGGGGCGGAGCTAATCCTCTTTGCGCTAGAATTATCTGGCCTTGGGATTAGGGGGCTTTGCCTCTGTGCAAGACATCTACTCTCCCAGATGATACGCCGTACCAGGCCACACCAAATGGCTGAGTTTGGGGTGGGATGAGGGGATTGTAGACGTATTTTTTTTCAGATCAAGAGAGGGTGTCCACCTCAGCTTTCTTGGTATTGATTAACTGAGAAAGTGTTCACAACTTTGTTAGCCTTTCAAAACCAGGAACTAAAATCACTCAGGTGTGATTTCAGGCTAGTTCTTGTTTTCCCAACAGCTTCAGTACGCCAGGTAGATTCTCAAACACACAGGGCAGTTTCAGAGCACAGGATAATATTTACCAGTCGTAGTTTTCAAAGCATAGTATTCGCAGAACACAATGTAAATTCAGAAGACAGAGGGAAAATTCAAAGAGAATTTGTGTGTTTTGGAACAAATAAGGGAATAGAAAGGAAGAGGTAAAGGTTCATTTCTTGCAGAAAGGGAAAGCACTTGAATGTCTTCAATCAAATGAGAGCATGTCTGCTTTGTCAGTCAATTTAAACTTAAATGCCTTTAATGGCATGCATTATAAGCAGAGCAACGTTCATAAAAACCACAAAAAATAAAAATATTAAAAATCAGTTTGCAATAAGTAACCTTCAAGGCAGTGGTGTGGAGTCTAGGTTATTTGCAACCTTACATCAGTTGATCCATGAGAAAAGAATCGCAGTTTCTCTGTGTCAGATACCAAAAGGCCAGACCTAATACAGGAAATATTGACTGAAGGGCAATGTTAACAGCCGACCTCTTGCATTGAAATGGAGCCAACTGGTCACGTGGATGCTGAAAGTGTTATTTATTAAAGGTGACATTCAATGTAGATTACGAATGGACAATTACGGTGTCTCTCCAGCCCATATGTCAATTTTTAACTCAGGCGGGCTGACATATGTTCCTCGCTTTCTACCAGTCATGAGAGAAGCACCACCACTCTGACAGAGCCTGTCAGGAACTTGCTAATTCATCTGAGTCAATAAATAACAAAACCCCCGCCGAATCTGTTAACAACAGGTAAAGCAGGCAATGGGCTACGCCTGTGAGACAAAAACAATACTAAGACTATAAGAAAACCAATGGGACAATAATTATATGCACCATCTGAAGCAGACAGTCCTCAATGACTGTTTCTAAAAAATCTGGATTATAGAAAGCACAAACTGGGATTACAAAACCTGAGAGCTTAAGTGATGTGCTTGCTTTGTACAGCCATTTGCATCACACAGTTGAAAGAAAACATCTGAATGACTAAACACTTTATTGCTGAATGTAAAACTCCAATGGAAAGCACTTGATGAGTAAAAAGCATTGGCTTCCTTAATTAGCCTACTAATCCTCCAAATATATTCAGATGCAATTCATCTTTGCATTTGGGAGCAGGGATACTTTTTTAAATCCAGGTTACTTGTGGAGCAGAGATACAGTACCATGAGGACATAGTTAGCAGAGGCAACAGAATACCTCAACAGATTGCAGAAGTAAACATCAAAAACATATTCAATCATAGATTTCAGCCTCCCTCAATGCTTTCATGTGCTTTTTTGCCACCAGTTTTCCGGAGCGAGGTTTTCTCCCTGTACTGTGAGCCATTCCCAGACCCCCTCTCCGTCACACCTCACCAATCCGGCGTCCCGAAGAGTGGCAAGCGAATCCACCCCCTCCCCCCCTCTCCCGGGGAAGAGAGCAGCCCTGGTGCCCGAGCAGCGCGACGCGGCACTGCGTGGGCAGCAGGCTCTAGCGAGAGGAGAAACAAGCGTGGCAGCGCAGTCTTGCCACATCAAGAAGTGGACGAGACGAAGCTCACCGCATGGCAGCCTCTGCGATGGGTCTGCAGCTCTCTCTCTCCAGTGGAGAAGAGTGCGAGCTGTACTGTAATTCTATTTTACTGTGCGAGATCTTAACACAGAAGAGATCTCACATATGGATAAGATCAGCTTTGCCACTGACCAGTAATATGCGCATGAAGTAACGTCATGCAGAAAACAGAGAGCACTTACGCACAGCAGCATCTGGAGGTTTTGATTAGGGGAACTATAGAGGGCATGAAGTGTTCTGAAAGAGGTTTCAATTTAAGAACAAAAGTTTTAAAGTAAATCCAGAGGTTGAGGCTTTTTCATTGTGCTTTTGCTTTGCAAAAGATGGTTTTACTGGCTATTGCCCTTCTTGCTGTAATTGCCCATCAATGAATGTGCGCTTGGTGCTTTGAAGGACTGAGATGCATTAGAAACTGTAGAACTTCTATGGGTCTGAGAAGGTGAAACATTGTGATAAGTGGTGCCTTTGCATTCCCAGCTGTTTCTGGCTTTCAGAGTATAAAGTGAAAGGGTGGATCCCTCCTGTTTACTGTAGGATTCCCTTTTCTTCTTCTGCGCCACACTGCACAGAAACAGCACACAGCACACAGCACACAGCACACAGCACACAGCACAAGGTGTCAGCTGATATGCACCTGCGCTGCGTGGCTTCAGGTCCCCTAGGGCAGACTCTTGCAAAAGCACACCAGCCCTGAGCCCTGCCTCCCTGCTAGCAAGGTGAGCTCTCTTCTCTCGTGTTGAGTGTTGAGCCTCTTCAATTTCCTGTTTTGCCTAAAAGTCAACACATCTGTCTTATTAGGCAGCACCCCC